TTAAGCAGCTTTAACTTGGATTAGGCGAATTTTCAAAGGAGAGGGCACAGTTAGAAAAAAACATCCCTAAGCGGGCAAAAATCTGAATTTTTTGGGATTTCTATGAAACTTTCTAAATCTTCGGAATTAGACACCTATCTTCGGAAAACGGCATAAATTCCAAAATGCTTCTTGCATTAGTTTAGAAGAATTTAGTTTTGAAAAGAGAAGGCGCATTTTAGTAAAGACGTCTGTTTTCACTAAATTGGCGTTTACTCAACATTCCGGTCGATTTCTATGAAATATTCAATTTCATTAGAGTCAGATATTTTCTATTGACCGTGAAAATTTCAAACTGCCGCTTGCTTTAATTTGGCAGTAACGAATTTTTAAACGAAAGGGCGCAGTTAAGTAAAATCGTCAGATTTTAGACTGCTTTTTACCAAGTTAGCAAAAATCAGATTTGACGGGAATTTTGATGAAACTTCCAGCATCTTTGGATCAAGTTTTTCTTTATTTCGAGTTGACAGATTTTCTTAAACGTTAACGATGTTTAACAGAAAGTAATAATTTTAACAAGCACAAATTATACTTCAAAAACTGTACCGAAGAAAAAAAGTCCTGCAACTACTGTAGAAACTTCCAGATAGATTCGCAGTTACCAACTTTTTCTCAAAATTACAGTGAATAAAAGTTATGAGATGCCTTTTTCTTTTCAAATACCTTATGAACCATACGTTTTATTAAGTCCATAACACATCAAGTTTATAAGTCTAAAACCGTGGTGGCTTTGGACGTTTTTTGTCTGTACTTAGAAGAAAGTGCCATAGAAAATCCTGGTGTTCATTTAATTCACTAGACGTTTTATAAAATCGTCAAAGTCCGTCCCCATCGCCCTTCGGCCATAAACCACCAAAGAATGTCATCAATTGTGCTAATCAACCCGTTTAGTCTGTTTGGCATAGAGAGATATTATCGGTGATTTGCGCCCCTTGTTTAAGGGCTGCTTTTTACCCTCGGCAGGGCCGTTGATTTAGACATAAAGCTGATTTAGTATCATCGTGTCGAACCTGATTATTTCGGCGAGCTTGAATGGGATGTAGGCTGAAAGGTTTTGTATTTGTGTAGTTGGTATTTTATGGGGGTTATTATATTGAATAGGATCGGATCGATGTTCCGAAGGGACTCGGTAGAAAGATGTAACTTTTCAAGGGTTTAGATAAAATTTGGCTCTTTTTTCTCAGATAGAGCCGGTCTTCATTTCCTCATTCTTAGCTTTTTATAGTCGATTTTTCAAATTCTTCCATTGCTCAATTTGAAACATCCACCTTAAAAAGCTAAGTATTGTGCATCCCTCTTTCTTCCCACAAAAACTCGGCAATCATTCGAAGAATTATTTCCTTGAAAACGTCAAATACAGTTCTGCGCACCAAGACGTGAAATTGGTTTCACAACCAAACCCATTGGATCGATCGTATCGATCAAACCATAACGGAAACCAGCAGGCAAAAAAATTGCATGGAAGGTGGTAGAATTTCCTCGATATACAGGCGTTTTTCCACCGATCCACCTTCCATAAAAGCAGAAACGACTTCGTTTCGTTAATATGAAATGAACAATGGTCGTACGCTTCAGAATGTCATCGTATCCGGTCGGCCCCGTTTATTTATTGGTTCGATTCCAGAAGAAATAAGAATTTATCAATAGCGAATGCGAAGGCCCGATGGTTTATTCATTTTATTCATTGGAATACCAACCATGCGCTATATAACCGGTAACCAGTTGTGAAACGGTGGATTTTTTGCCCTGTTACGTCTTGAAAGCGAGCTCAATTTTGTGAGGTAATTTTATTGTCTGTTGGAATTTGGCCGACGAATATTTGCGTGCTACGGTTAGCCTACCATATAGGAGAAACATGTCGCAATTTTCAGAAGCTTTTTTTCCCACTGTCTTGCCCAGACAACGCAACGCGACTGAAACACTCAACCTTTACAACTGTTTAAACACCAGGAAACAAAAGACTCGCTTCAGTTATGACAGCATAAGTGAGGAAATTCGAGCAGTTTTGACCCAGGAAGCGAAATTTGAATATCAGACACTTTGGTGCAATATTATGCCAAAATTTAATGTTTTCCGTCCCGTTTTTGCTCATTTCTCGGAGGCAAAATGAGCAAGAACGCTCATTTGTACATCATTCTAAAGAGAAATAAATGGCCTTTTTAGAAAGT